TTGTCTAGTTGATTTGTCTACTTGTGATGGTATTGAGATTCCTCACTATAATTGTACTAATGTTTGTCTGACCTTTTATGTCCAGCAGTGTTTGTTTTATGAAGTTGGGTGTGCTGGGGATTGGTGCATATATATTTATAATTGTTACCTCTTCCTGTTGAATTTGTTACCTACCAAACTGTAGCAATTTTTTTTCCCCTCTTCTGATTAGTTTTGGCTTGAGGTTTACTTTGTCCAAAAAGAGGATGGTATCTGCTTGTTTTTGGACTCCCATTGAATGTAATGCAATGATACCTTAGTTCATGAACTTAATTTGTTCTACAGTCTTAGAAAATATGGCCATATTTGTGATCATGTGAGAGAGATGGCTTCAGTTATGTTTGTCACCTTATGTAGAGTTTGCAAACAAAAAAAAATGTTTTTGACAAATGCTTTTGTTTGAAAACCAAATTGTTTGCAAATAAAAGCATTCATGAACTGAGATACCACTGTATTATTTTCCAACCCTGACTTTTAGTCTATGAAAGTCCTTTTGGGTTAAATATATTTCTTGTACACAGCATACTGTTGGATTTTGCTTTTGATCCAACGCTCCAATCTTTATCTTTTGACTGGGACACTGAATCCATTCACATTTTGAGATATTACTGAAAGGTGTTTACTTATTCCTACCATTTCATTGTTTTTCCTTTGCTGATTAATTTTTTCCTTTCTGTTTAACTTGTACCCTACCCAATACATCTATTGCACTTGATTTTTTGCATCATTGGCTTCATTATCTCTGTCTAGAATATCCTTGAGAATTTTTTTTTTGAGTGCTGGTTTGATGGCCATCAATTTTTTAAGGTGCTCTTTGTCATGGAAAGACCTTATTTCTCCACCAATTTTGAAAGGTATTTTTATGGGATACATTAGTATGGGCTAGAAGTCGTCTTCTTTTAGGGCTTGAAGCACTGGCTATTAAGAAGTCTGCTGTAATTCTCATAGGTCTACTTTTATAAGTGATTTGTTGCTTTTCTCTAACAGCTTTTAAGATTCTATCCTTATGTTGGACATCTATGATTTTGACTATAGTGTGTTGTGAAGCAGTTTTTTCCTGATTGTAGCTATCACAATTCTGATTGTGGGTTTTGCTATGCCTTATATGTTAAATTATTCCCCCATACTTGGAAAGTTTTCTGCTGTGATTTATGTAAGGTTTTTTTTAATGCCGTTCATTTTGACTTTTACTCTTTCACTAATTGCAGTTAATCTTAGGTTAGTCTTCTTTGTACCATTTAACAGCTGCTGGATCCATTTTCCATGATCTCCTGATATTTATAAGGCATCTCTGAGTAAATGATTACCTGCCTTGTTCTGACACTCTCTCTGCTGTTCACTTAATTTTTAACCTACTGATTTTCTGTTTAGCTCCTTTTCATGGTCTCTACTTCTTTGCTAAATTGATCATTCACATTTTTTTGTTTGTTTAGCTCAGCTAGCTTTTTATGTGTCTTCTTTAAACCCACTGACTTATTTATTTAGTTCAATGTATCTTTAGTTGCATCATTTTTGAGCTCTCTGAACACCTTATTCTTCCTTTTTTTGGGGGGGGGTTTGTTTTATTTCCTCTTTTATCACTTCATATAATTGAGCTGTTTGGCTTTTGATTTCTTCCCCAGTGATGACCCATGAATCAGGTTTGGGGGAGTTGAGACCTTTTGGAGGCATTTTGTTTCCTTGTTTTTCCATGTTTCCTGTGTGTGTGGGTGGGTGTGCAGGTGTGTGTGTGTGTGTGTGTGTGTGTGTGTGTGTGTGTGTGTGTACATGCAGACAGGCTGAGAGTGAGAGTCAAAGAAAGTGGAAAACTTTCGTTGTTAGTAAGAGATTTCTTTCATTAGTGTCTCCTTTTTGTTGATGCAGTATGGGGCATTCTTCTCTGTCCCAAAATCCAGACACTTCCATTAATTTGGGAATTGGGGATGCAGTGTAATTGACCCATCACCCAGTTCTCCAAAAGTGAACCACAGTAATAATGACACAAAGACAAACCAAATATTGGCATGCAGTAAAAAACAATTCATAGCAACAGCTATGCCACAGCGTTTTAGGTATGTCTGGGGGGCCATGGAGGTGTGGCCTTGGTGTCTACGTATGGTCTCTTGTTCCTTCTTCTCTAATACTTTCCTCTGCCCTGCTTCCTGGCTGCCATGGTCTGGCTTCCTGGCTTGGGTGCCTCCAGTACACCTTTCCACTGTGATATCTCTGCCTTGCAGCCAGTCGATCATAGGCTGAGACCAAATTAAATCTCACCTCCTTTTAATTGTGAGTATTGGATATTTTGTCCCTGTGATGGGAAATGGACTAATACAGAAAATTTAGAACAGCAGTGAGGTCATTACTGTGACTACTCTGTGACTAAACCATGTGGTTTAGAAGCCTTTGGAACTGGTTTTCTGGAGGAGTTTGGAAAGGTGTAGAGATGAATGCCAGAGAAGCCTTACAATGCAGTAAGCAGAGCCTAATGTGTGATTCTGGTCAGAGCTCAGAAGATCTGAATGCTGGAACCGGAATAGGAATAGGAATGCGGGCAGCAGAGGCCAGGCGATTTCAGATGGTAACAAGGACTCCATTGACATTTGGGTTTGAGACCACATGTGTTACACTGGCAGAAAATCTGTCTACATTCTGTCCATGTTCTCATGTCCTGAAACTGCAAGAAACAGATTAATGGTAGTGATCTAATTAATCTGGCAGAGGAAATTTTAATACAGACTAACATTCACACTGTGACATGGATACTGCTGGATGCATTCAGCCAGATTTATAGTGAGACTAGAGAGCAAAAGGCAAAACAAAAACTAATTAATGTAAATTTTGGCGCAGAGGAACCACATGTAATGCTGGGGTATGAGGTATGAGTGCGGAAGAGATTAGCACCATTAAAAAGGAATCAAGTACTTTGTATAATGATGACAAGAGAAAAGATACTTCAAGAGCATCTTGGAAATCAGCAACCATCCACCCATTAAAAGCTCAAGTGTGTAAGACTATAATACTTTCATTTGAGAAGAGAGTCCCTGGGCTCCTTGTATGAGAGGAGCCTTCTAGGAAATCAGTTCCCTGAGGTTCATTCCACTATGCTCAGCAATGCGAGCACTGAGAGGCAACTGCAGCCATGGTCCAATGGGGCATGACTATTGCCCATGTTAGCAGCCAAACTTGGCATTGTCCACATAATGCTGGTTTTACTGGCATGCAGAAGGCAAGAACTACAGTGTCAGGGAGGCCTCCACTCATATCTCAAAGGAATATCTGGGAGGCCAAGCAAGAAGCCCCTTGGGGCAATGCAGGAAGCTATGGAAATAAAGCTGAAGGTGCTGTGAATAACCCAGAAAGTTGGAGATGCCGAGAACATGAAACATCAACCAAGGGAAACTAGGCTGCGAGTGAAGATGGCTCACAAGAGATGCCATATAGGCCTCAACAAGTCAGGGGTGGTGTTGTTCTGTCAACCTTGCAGGTGACAACTGAATTACAGCTGAAGGCATGTGCCAAGTGCCCTAAGAAAGGCTAGCAGAAGCGGGCCTTTCATGCCTCTGCATCCATCTCGCCTGTCAGATGCCGGTGCACCTGCTTGGAGCTGGGTCAGCTGGGCAAGGATGGAGGTCAGGACTGGTGGACTCAGAAGGTTCCCTAAAGCTGGAGCTTGAGCAAGTGTGTTTGTGTGTGTGTGTGTGTGTGTGTGT